GGGCTGGAACTGATCAGGGACTAAATCTTGCAAATTGTGCACAAGATGAGCCCTTTCCTACACATTTAGCATCAAAAGTCATGTCTAGAGTCACTATCAATTAACCAACTGCATAAATCACTGTACCTGCAAGCTCTAGATGCAATATCCTTCCTGTACTGAATCCCCTCAAACATAACCTTCTTGATACTATCATATGCTGTTTTCTGAGCATCTTCTATTCCTGTTGCCAAGCCAACAACTGCCATCACCCTTCCACCAGAAGTAACTAAAACTTTGTCATCTTCTTTTCTTTGGATGGCTGTCCCAGCATGAAACACCACTACATTATTTTGACCCTTTGTATATAAATCATAAATACCGAATTACCTTGGGAAAACAGATGACTAATAAAAAAAGATATAACTTTATTTCTGAAAACTCACACATCTTTTGTAGCCAGTATTGCATTGATTTTTACACAATCATGTAGTCTGTCATTTCGTGTTTATTGCCAAGTAATGAACAGTGCATGGTCCCCATGACTTAGTCAAAGCAATTATTTCTAGAGCCAGATGTGGATACTAATTGTCATTTTTTATTAGCACCATCACAAACTCACATGACTATCAGGGCAACTATGTACCTGTAACTCTTAATATTTTCATCCAAAACACCAAAAAATGCTGACCATTTTGAGACTAAACTCATCTGGATGATAATAGCAATATATCACACAGCACTCAACCAAATCAGAGTACATGCAATTCTGCATGTCTACACAAAACTAACCTCCAAGTCTCTCAAGCCCTTGAGGACACACCCTTTCTTAACTGAACCAGGATATCCACCACTAGCTGCAACGACACCCACAGCAAACCTGTCTGTATGCCACTGGGGTAGGGAAAGGCTTAATTCACCATTTACACATTCCAGAAGGGTTGCATAGAGATCACTCTTCAGTAGTGGCAATATAACTTGTGTCTCTACAATAAAAATAGAAATAAACACTTGATGTCAAGTCTGAGAGGAAAACTGCCAGTTTCATTTATTAAGAGCTCAAAATGTCTTCCTTGCCACTGAAGACTCAACGTTGAGTTTTAGCATAACAGTGAATAGTTCAGTAGGACTAACTCGTCCAACGACAGCACTCTAATTGATCAATGGTTCACAAATTTAACTGCAAAAGCATATTTTCTTTTCAGTACATCAACATGTTTCTTCTCACCTGGATCACCAAACCGACAATTAAACTCCAGAACCCTGGGACCATTAGCTGTTAACATCATTCCGGCAAAGAGAACTCCAACAAATGGACACTCTTCTTCCCTTAAACCATCAACTGTCTTCTGGAGAACATCTCTGGCTATTTCTTCCTTCAGATGCATGGAAACCTAGAAAGTGTGTTTACAATAACACAAGATCTTTTGACCATGTCTAGCAGGAACCAATCTTGAAAGATAAAAATACCAGGATAAATCCTGACAACAATGAATGCACACGTACGCCTCATGACTTGCCAACACCTTTTAAAGAACAGTTAACTTGTGTATTTACATTAAAATGATATAACTGACTTTCACTGCAGCTAGACATAACATTACAACTCCATGTTCAACCTCTTTTTTGATACGTCAGAACTCAGTTTCCAGTGCAGATCATCCTAGGCATTAATTTTTTTTTTCCTGACAGTTTGCTGAACTACACCCAGTTAAAAATCTGCTCCTGGGTGGAAAGACATTGTGTTAGAGCAGAGCAGCTTTAGCTGGACCTCTTCATTTAGAGTCTGAGGTACTGAAAATCTCCTCTATAGTTAACATACCTGTGGACAAGGTGCATATGCACCCATTCCTCCTGTGTTAGGACCTTGATCATTGTCTAATAAGCGCTTATGATCTTGAGCAGGAGGCATTATAGCAATTGTCTTACCATCGGTGAAACAGAGAACCTACAACAGATGTCACTCAAATACTCACTAAAGCAATTCCCCTTTACTCTTTAAAATATTCTAAATGAGAGTATCACTTTAGATAACTCAATTGTATCCCTCTGTATACCGACATGCATATTACCTCACAAGTAGATAAAATTTCACTTTCCAAAAGGCCATGAGACATCCCCTAAGAACTTTCATAAATGTAAAAACTCTGGTATTGTTCTTCCTTTGGCCTGAGCACCAGTTAAGCATAAAATTTACCAAAAATGGAGAAGGTACACAAATTTAACATGAAATGTGACTTGTTACATCTCTCAGCTAGTAACCACACTTATAGTTACACCATTTTTCTCTTTAGGCTTGGGTCAAAATTCTGAATGGAAAAACTTGGTCTGTAACTTACCGTAAGGTCCCCTGACTTGGTCAAGGTGCCCGAAAGTCATCTCACCCGAAGTCATGTCTCCCTGAACCTGAGTCAAGTTGTTCAAAATTTTTGTCATATTGACTAGGTTGCATAATGCAAAATACGCGTGAGGGTTTTGCCTGTGCATTAGCCACGTAACTCTGAGCTGTAATGTCTAATGTGAAAACAAAGAATTCAATGCTTCAATGATCACCTGCACATACTAACAGTGAGCATAACACATGCTTTGAACAAATTCTAACACTTTCTTTTTTCTAATTATCAACAAGCAATGAAATCAATGCTTACAGAAACCTCCTCTCCTTCTAATTTTTCTTCAATCACGATTGTTGACCCTGCCTCGCCAAATATCTTGTCCTGTACAACATACAAAAAGTACATTACACTATTATTCACTTTCACAAGATCATTTCAAAATACCATCAAGAATTCCCATTGTTTTGACAAGCTGCACAAAACTCGACAACGCAATCAGGGAAGAGTCACTGATCAGTTGAATGTTTTAAGTCTGGACCTTGGAAACTTTTTGGTAGGATTTGCTCTGATGTCACCTGATGAAAGTATTTTGGAACAAATTGGGTTTAGCGAATTTAGAATGGTCAGTTAGGTGGTAAAAAGTTTAACAAGATAATTTGATTTTACAAACTGATTCGATGACATAAATAACTTGGCCAACATAATGAGTTTAAGAGCTGACATTTCAAGCATTAGCCCTTCATCGGAGCAAATCAAAGTTTAGCTAGTTTCAAGTCTTCTACCATTTTTCAGATATCCAAAGTCATGTGTTGTAGTTTTCTTATTAAAAAAAAGTGGGCCATTTGATTTCAAATCCACCCCTCCCTCTCTTAGCACCCCAGTAAGAGGATCTTTTTTGGGGGAGGGGGAGCTTAAGACCTAAGAGGGGGAAAGGGGCAATGACACTCTTAAATAGCTATGGACTCAATTCTAAATTCAAGGCTGTGCTCTAACATTTGGCACTGGGCGACTGAAAAAATATTCCGGTCGCCCAGCCAGGCACTCGGCCTCTTGTGTAGCATTCGCCTCAATGGTAAATCTGGCAATAGACTGCTACATTTTTATTTGGTTGATTTATAAGCATTACTAGCAAAAAATATTATTTTGTGTGACACGTAGTTGAATTGCTCACGTTTGAAGATTTTGAAGTAACTGCCACATTTCATTCCACATGATTTTGCACGAACCCAAACAATAATTATTTCACGTTATAAACCGCATGGATATTGCAAAAATATGCGTTGAACACTGCAATTTTCCTTGTGATGATCAATGTCCGATTTATTTCAGTGTTTCGATGGATTTAGATAGTGCAGTGCGTTTATCTCTATTTCAAACCAAGATTCTTTCTATATGCAAATTTCTGGCACGCCAGCTTTGTTTGTAGGTGTTTAGTGATCACTGTGATAAGCGACTTGCAGTTACTTTAGGAAGATTTAGCGAGAACTGAGCTTATAACGATTTCATATTTAGATTTGTTTACTTTGGTGCTTTCAAATGAAAGTTCCAAGCGGCTTTAAAATATCTAAAGAAACACAATTACCATTTTGAAAAATAACGCAAGCTCACCGCTAAAAATAGCAACACACTCTGTCGCGTGGTGTGGAAGTTTTAATTTTCAGAAAAATATTTAAAATGTAGCTATTCCACAATCCCACAGCTTTCCTGCAAGTTTTGGAAAAAATTTAAAACATTTCAATTTCAAAGCACCACAATTTAATAAAAATTACCTTTCCCGATGGCTCTCATGGCCAGACTAGCAACGCTATTTTTAACTTTACCGGTAAATATCCAGTCAATTTTTCGTCGACTTTCTGAAAATTTCAGCTCTCCACATATAGTCAGTTGCAATATGTATTGTCACGATTCTATGAACTCAAAAGGGTTGTTTATTGTGCGAACTCGACTGCCGCCACGTGTGTTGTCGTTGTCTCCTAAGTGTTCTGAATATAAAAATGTTCATCGGCCCAGTGGCGTGACCGTGTAACGCAATATCACGACATCTTCCCCTTTTTACAAAGTTTACCTTCAAAAGTTAATTAATACTTAATGTTCGGTTTCGATCACTGTTCAAATCACATAAAATCGATAAAACATTGTTCTTCATTGAAATCATAAAAAGATAGAAACAGAACCCAACAACTATTTAGCGGCTCAATCATTCAATGTTCAGTTCATATGGTAATCCTGATGCCACAAAGGCGGTCGACGTCTGCGTTCTGATCGACGAGTTTCAATCCTTTGTGGCTCAAGCTCAGTTCCCATTTCATTTTCAGGTGGCATTCTCTCTGTTTTGGTCTCGCCATGGAACTCCGGTGGAGGAGGTCCTGGCTCTGTCAGATTTGGCGCCGGTTTGAGGGTAGACTCGGGCGGAGTTAGTTCTACCAGACTCATAGGTGGTGCTGTTTCCGGGGTCAGGCGCAGTTGCCGACGGTTGCGTCGGTATCGCCTGCCGCAAACTTCAACTTCATAAGACCTGTTCCCCAAGGCTTTCATGCAGGTCCCCAGACTCCATTCCTCCCTTCCGGGAAGCCGCATCCTGATGGCCTGTCCACACTTTAGTGCCTCTAAAGGGCGAAACTTTTTGTTGTATTGTTGAGCTTGTCTTTTCTTGCGCTCAGCTAATTTGGTGGCTGTTTCCTGGTGTGATGGCTGCCGCAGGAGCGTTTCATGGGTTGGTAAGAAAGTGCGTGTGCGGCGTCCCATCAGTCTCTGTACGGGTGATGTTCCTAGACCCTCTGTTGGGGTGTTGCGCCAATCAAGAAGGGCTAACAGCGGGTCTTGCCCATCCGCTTTCGCTTTCGTCATCAAGTTCTTGCAGGTCTTCACGGCATTCTCGGCGCGGCCATTTGACTGGGGGTAACGGGGGCTCGAAGTTCTATGTTCAAACTGCCATTCTCTCACGAATGCACTGAACACCGATGACGTAAACTGAGGTCCGTTGTCGGTAATAAGCACGTCTGGTATCCCATGGCGGGCGNGGGGGGGAAGCTTAAGGCCTAAGAGGGGGAAAGGGGCAGTGACGCTCTTAAATAGCTATGGAGTCAATTCTAAATTCAAGGCTGTGCTCTAACATTTGGTACTGGGCGACTGAAAAAATATTCCGGTCCCCCAGCCGGGCACTCGGCCTCTTGTGCAGCATTCGCCTCAATGGTAAATCTGGCAATAGACTGCTACATTTTTATTTGGTTGATTTATAAGTATTACAAGCAAAAAATATTATTTTGTGTGACACGTAATTGAATTGCTCATGTTTGAAGATTTTCAAGTAACTGCCACGTTCATTCCACATGATTTTGCACGAACCCAAATAATAATTATTTCACGTTATAAACCGCATGGATATTGCAAAAATATGCGTTGAACACTGCAATTTTCCTCGTGATGATCAATGTCTGATTTATTTCAGTGTTTCGATGGATTTGGATAGTGTAGTGCGTTTATCTCTATTTCAAACCAAGATTCTTTCTATATGCAAATTTCCGGCAAGCCAGCTTTGTTTGTAGGTGTTTAGTGATCACTGTGATAAGCGACTTGCAGTTACTTTAGGAAGATTTAGGGAGAACTGAGCTTATAACGATTTCATATTTAGATCTGTTTACTTTGGTGCTTTCAAATGAAAGTTCTAAGCGGCTTTAAAATATCTAAAGAAACACAATTACCATTTTGAAAAATAACGCAAGCTCACCGCTAAAAATAGCAACACACTCTGTCGCGTGGTGTGGAAGTTTTAATTTTCAGAAAAATATTTAAAATGTAGCTATTCCACAATCCCACAGCTTTCCTGCAAGTTTTGGAAAAAATTTAAAACATTTCAATTTCAAAGCACCATGATTTAATACAGATTACCTTTCCCAATGGCTCTCATGGCCAGACTAGCAACTCTATTTTTAACTTTACCAGTAAATATCCAGTCAATTTTTCATTGACTTTCTGAAAATTTCAGCTCTCCACACATAGTCTGTTGCAATATGTATGGCTTTTTCATTTTACCCCTCACTTCTTTCACGAAAAATGGATGAACAAGGAAATTTTTACTGAAAATCTCTTAAAGCGGGCGGTATTTTATTATGGTCATTTGGCCTTTTTGCTTTACATAAAATTGGTGTGCTTCACAGATGACTCAAGCTGTAGAATGGTGATCTTAAAGATCGCTAATGCTGTCAAAAAATAGTAAGAAGATGGTTCTATTAACTGGGAGCCAAACTTGTTTGTGCCGAAAAGGAGCCAGAAGTTATCTACAGTGTATCGTATATGGTAAACAGCAACACCAAAAGTTAAACTCTTTCTAAACAGCTTGAATTATTGAAATTTATGGTTTGATTAACTATTAACTGATTAAGACAGGAAATAAGCTATTCATAAATTATTAATTGCTTGGTTAATTAATTAAGAAATTAATTAATTTTTGGGCCACCAACTTGGAGGGCTGGCCACCCCAGCTAGAATGGTTGGGAGCCCAAAGGGCTACCTGAAAATTTTCTCAGAGGACAGTCTTGAAATTTGTCAGACCCTGTGCTCATAATTACCTGAAGCATTTCTCTGACAGCTTTCACAGCCTCTTCTTTCCTACTGGCAACAACAACACCTTTCCCAGCGGCTAGACCGCTGGCTTTTATCACCAGAGCTTCATAATCAGCTGATTCAATATGTTTACACGCTTCCTCTGGGTCAGTAAAGGCCTTCCATCGCGCCGTTGGAATACCGTGGCGCTGCATGAACTCTTTGGCGAACTGTTTGCTTGACTCGATCCGAGCAGCTCTGCGACTCGGCCCAAAACAAGGGATTTTCATATCCCGTAGCGCATCAGCTAAACCATTCGCTAACGGTACTTCGGGTCCAATAATAACAAAGTCTATTTTGTTCTCTACACAGTATTCAACGACGCTTTCGTTATCGTTGCAATCGACGCTTGTGGAAGGAATGTTCTGTGTTTTCGGTTGTAAAGAAGTTCCCGCATTGCCCGGTGCAACAAAGACTTGCCCGACATGATTTGATTGGGAAAGCTTCCATCCAATGGCATGCTCTCTTCCTCCTCCACCGACCAGTAAAACCTTGTCACCCATTGAGAAGAAAAAAAACTTCAAGAAGTCAATCCTCAGTTATGGCGCGCTTTTCCAGATGGTTTACGTTCTACCCACGTGGATTATCATCGTCCATTTTCACATTACCCAAAATACCTTGCGCCTTGGGGGGTAACTTTGGAGCCCTAGTTTATTTATTTATAATTTATTTATTTATTTATAATAACTTCATTTGCCTAAATAATAAGATAATAATAATAATAATAATAATAATAATAATACAGACAGATAACAATAGAAATAACATCGAGATGCAAAAAGGCAAAAAGGGTCAAGCCAGAGAGGAACTCAATTCTCATTGACGGCAGCCCCCAGAATAAAAGCAATATGCAATAAAAATAAAACTAAAATGTAAAGGTAAAAATTATTGAAAAAACAAGTTAATTGATAAATGGATATTGGTGCAATATTATTGATATTATTTAAAAATGTGTTCTTTCAGTTTTTTTTTTAAACTTACTAGCAGAGCTAGAGCTAACTACTATGTCACTTGGCAAGTCATTCCAGATTTTTATATATTTATACCAAAAAGAGTTCTTGAGGATATTTGTTCGAGCATAAGGCGTCCAGATTTTGACATTGTTGGTAGATCTCGTCCGACTATTGGAGAAAGTTAAGTAATTACATATAAGTCTACTCTTGAAAAACCATNATCGTGAAGTACTTACACTGACTCGTTTGCGCTTTGGTTTTAGAGTTTCAATTGCAACGAAGTCATCTTTGTTTGTTTTTTGACTTGTTCTGGTCTTTCGACTTTCAATTTCCTTCTTGAACTCAAATATGGATGGATTGTAAGCCGAATGTGCAGGATCATCGGACTTTTCTCCTCCGACGAAGTGAGCTGAGCACAATCGAGTGTTGTCTGTTGGTGAAAAATCTTGTCGGCGAATTCTATTTAACCAAGCATTTCTTCGCTTAGATTCTTTCGGAATTCTGTAAAACTTGAGATTTGGGTTTCTTTTCCGATTATTTGAGCAGCTTGGAGCACAGCAAAAGTCGTTTTTTCCCATGTAAATTACGATGATATATAAGAGTTTTGCAAACAGATATGGCGTCCTTAGCTTTGTTGTCAGACTGGTTACCCCCCAAGGCGCAAGGGATTATGGGGATGTGAAAGAAGTTGCCGTGGAAACAATCTGGTTGCAATCAAAAGTCACGTGACAAGTTCAGCAAAAGGAATAAATCGAGCGAAATGAGTTCAAGTGGTCAATGTCGGGTCGTGTTTCAGGTGCAGTTCCGTTCAAGATTGGTGAATTTTCAACTCAGATACATCGCCAGTGATGATTAGTCTTATGGCAAACTGTTTTACTTGGGTGAAGAGGAGAAGGGAACCTTCAAAGTATGTTTTAAAGGTGTCATATATTGTGACAAAGATAGTACTAGTGTTGATATCGAAAGGCAGTGGTCGAAAAATTATGTGATCTCCATTGGTCAAACATTCGATACAACTGACTGTTCTCTCCTCAGGAAAGTTACCCTTCTTATGGTGGGTTTAGATAACGCGGGGAAAACGTCCACAGTTGCTGATCTGACGGGAGGTACGTTGGTAAACTTAGAACTAATTTAATTATCTATTTTTGGCAGTAGTTCATCGATCGTACGTTGAGTTTGTTGTTTCTCAAATCAGCTGCCACTTCCTTATGACGTCCGACTACATTCATTCACGTTATGAGAGAAAATATTGGACAGATGCTTTTTCGTGTTGATGCAAACGTTTCTGGTCCAATCCCAGAGCCATTTTGACGAGGTTTCTTCTTGAGTTATTATCTGTATTGGGCCGATCGGCATCCAACTGACACGTGAACGTTATTGGAGAGCTTTTGACAAATTTATACTTTATTTCATAATTTGTTTTTCTGTAGTCACAGTCTAAATCAAAACAGGAAATTTGTTAATCAACAGATGCACAGCAACACGGAATCTATTTGATAAACAGAAATATGGTCTATAGGTTAATTAAAGGTCCCAGTATTAAGAGATTCCACTTGAGGCCAAGTTATTAGCACTTCTGTGAAATAAATTGTATTTTGTTTATTATTGATTAAGCTAGATGTATATATGTATATTTTTATGAAGAATAATCATGACTGCACTGAACTACTGTGACATAACTTTTGCTGAATTTAATATTTATACAATACACAAATGTTGTTAACTTGTGGTCTTCTCTTTTTGTTCAGAGTCCACAGATGGAATTACCCCAACAGTTGGTTTTTTGAACTCTTCGTTTTCACTGTATAGATTCAGTGTGACTGTATTCGATGTGGGTGGTGGAGCTAAGATTCGCTCTATTTGGAAAAATTATTATGCTGAGGTCAGAATCTAAGTGTACATTTTCAATTAATGAATCTTTTTTGATATTGAATTTTAAAATATATTTAGTTTTCAATTAAAAATTTTACTCTCTCTTTGTTGATTGAAAAATTTCTTCTTTTTTTTTTTTTAGTCTTATGGAATAGTATTTGTGGTAGATGCCAGTGATGCAACTAGGCTAGAGGAAAGCAAGAAAGCTCTTTATGAAACAGAGATGCAACCCCGTGTGGCAGGAAAACCTTTACTCGTGTAAGACTTCAGTTTCTCCAGATTACACTTATAAATATTTAATACCTTGTCACACAGGTATGGTTAGTTTTGTACTCAAGACTGACTTACTCAATTTTCAGCTTATTATATTATATAGGAGTTCTTTCTGACAAAGCAATACATAGGGTTGCTACTCCTCCTGAATGGTACGATTGCTCTGTTCTACATGTCATGCCCCGGCCCCATTCTCCAGCATTATGTCAAGTTTAAAAGGTTTTCCAGTACCCACAGATACTTCTGGGTCTGGAATCTGAGGCACAGACAGTTACTAGCGTAATCTTACCTAAGAACATGTCACAGTGTCCCTAATCAGAGCCTCAACACAAACCTTTCTTTTTTTGTGTCTCAGCATGTTTAGAACCAGTGAGTTATTTATTACCTTTGAGACAATTTTACATTACGACACAGTCCTTGTAGTTAAAATTATTTCTACTTTTGTGACAACTTAACTCTTCAAATCCTGGAGGTGATTGACATAAAACTTCACTCTTTAATATCCCTACGTTATCCAAGAAGGGTAATGAGAATACTCATACTTATCAGGTAGAAGTTGCTTTCTTGATCTAACACCAAATTCTTGTAACTAATAAACAAGGATATGTCTAACAGTTAGAGGGGAGAACGGACAATCTGATCTTGGGAGTTGAAGGGTTAATGGACTTAGGAAATAAACTTTTCCTTTTTTTTACACAAATTGTTTACTTATCTTAAATTTTCTTTTTATAAAGACTTGGAAATAAACAAGACAAGGAGGGGGCTTTGAATGAAAATGAACTGCACACGCAGCTTGAATTAGATACACTTGTTGAAAAGTACAGTTGTCCTTGTAAAGTGGTAAGTTATTTCATTCAAGTTTCTTTCTAGTTGTGACTTTGTTAACATTATCTGATATGATTTTTTTAAATCTTTTTGAAAATATTTAATTTGACTTTTTCTTATCTTTCACCAGTTTTGTTGTTCAGCAGTACTTGGCAAAGGAAATAAGATAGATAGACAAATTAAAAAAGGTAAGTTTAAAACCATTTGTAAACATCTATATACAAAATTCTTTAAATTTATAGAAACTGTCAGACTTGTAAACATCATTTTCTGTAATTGGTGTGTAATTCAGTACTTATTCCCTCAAATGCCTTTCCAAAGGATGAAATTACAAAGAAGATTGGCTGCTCTGAAAGTAAAGAAAGGATGTCGGGGAAACAAAGATCACTTATGTCTAATTGCTCTTTTTTTTTTAAATCATTAGGCTTCCGGTGGCTCCTCACTGAAATTTCCAATGATCATGTCAATCTGTCAAGAAGAGTGGAGAAAGACATGGCTGAACAGGTGATTATAATTACCTCAGTCTATAATCAAAGATAAAGGAAGTAAGGAAGTAGATATTGAGGGGGGTAGGGATTTTCGTCAAATGTTTATAGTAAAAGTGTGCACAGGGTAGCATTAGCTCACCTGCTCCAGGCATTTAGTTTGAAAATGGGACTTGATAGCTCTGCTGGAGCAAAAAGTTCTGAGGGCCAAGGAAAAAGGAGAAAGGTATAATACGGGTGTGCCCTGAACTTTCTGTTCTGCCATTACACTCTTTAGCTGTATTTCAAAACTTGATGCCTGGAACTGGCTATGTTGTGGCTTATTACTGTATATAGGTTCTAGAAAAAATTATTTTTCAAAAAAAAAAAATTGATTGAATCATTTCCCTCTTTATTGCAGAAAAAGGCACAGGATGAAGAAAGAGAGCGGAAAAGAGAAAGAGTCAGATTAGCAAGGGAGGCAAGGTTTGTGGTAGAGGACTTGCATGTGTGAGACAATAAATTTCTTATCATGCTTTTCATTAGATTTCGTTGTTGTGATATTGAATTTAATATAATTCATATTTTAGGGAGAAAGCTGAAAGAGAAGCTGCAGAAAGAGAGAAACAGCAGGTGGAGGAATCAGATGACGGTGTTGTTGTCAGCAAGGTGAGATACTTAGAATGCATCTTTTTACCATCACAGGTCTTATAGCTCCTTTTTTAAAGTAATCTGCAAAATTGGCCCATGTGACAAACACTCTAAAAGCGATAATGTCAATCTGACAAATGTGGACTTTCAGTTTAATACTGGTTAAGATTATCAGTGGGTACATCATTTAATATATAATATATGCTACTACAGGTGGACAAATATATTATATTATTATACATTGTAGTCACCATCCGTTTTCTCATTGGCTAAACGCCCACAGTTAATTCTGGGAAACAGTGCAACCTACAGATTATTCACTAATCTGTACCTACAGATTAGTGAATAATCTAAAGGTTGCATGTGCAATGCATGACTTCCCATGGAGCAATGTCAAGTTCACGGACAGCGAAGTAAGAATGGCTTCTCAATTCACTTCATCGACCCAGCGAGAAATTGAGAAATTACTATAAGATAAAGATTCAGAAAATACTAAGAGATCGACAAAAGTGACGAAGGAACTGTTCAAAGAATACCTTAAAGAGAAAAATATCCAGGAGCCACACAACAAAAGGGAATTAGCCCAAGTGAAAATTTTTTACCACACAGTTGTACATTTTTAAGTGTTCGAAAATAAACTGTGTTCACTGCAATGTGTTTGGCGTTATTTTCTTTAAAACAATGTATAATAAAACAATTATTGGATTAAGTTTTTGTGATATCCGGAATAATCAAGGTCTCAGTTAGTGTTATCAGCCTCAGCCTTCAGCTTTGGCTGATAACACTTACCTTGACCTTGATTATTTTGGATATCACAAAAACCTCATCCAATAATTGTTTATTAGTTGTATCGAGAAAAAGTAAGACTGGGTTAATGGTGGTATTTCTTGCAATTCTCTGATTTTAATTCTTTTGGTTGGAAATCAGGACAAAAGGAAGAAAGACAGAGAAACACCAGAACCACAAACCCCATTCAAGAAAAAGAAAAAGGGGAGAGAAAATAATCCTGAGCCTGATGCACCAGAGAAAGGAAAGAAAAGCAAGAAGAAAAAGAAAGAAAAACAGGATGAAGACAGAGTGGATGGACAAGATACTATAAATGTATGTTCATGATTGAAGCATGTGCTACCTTTGTTATTATGAGAGTGTAGATAGGCTTCAAGTATTGTGGGGAACTCTGAAGCAATGTGTACATGTAAGTTTTCAATCATGTCTTTTTTTTTTTTTTTTCCAAACAGGTGAAAGACCAAACCCTCAGTAACCCTAGTCCAGTTGAAAAGCACTTAAATGAAGCTAGGTCCAAAACTCCTGATGAAACAATAAAGCATTCACAACCAGGAGGATGGAGTGAAATGAGCAAAAGGTTGCCTGTACATGAAAATACAATGCCAGAGGATAGTGAAGTGAAAACAAAAAAGAAGAAAAAGAAAAAGAGAAAATTAAATAAAACAGCTCCAATGGAAGGAGAAGAAACCGAGCTTCCTCCGCTCAATGCGTGGGCAACTCCATCGAGTACATTAAATGGCTTTCCAGGAAGTAGTGGAGTATCTCTGAGAAGACTAGAGCCTTTAGGATTACCTCATGCATCAGGTACTGTGAAAGAGACTCTCTTGATGTAAATGACTTACCCGCACAGATTGCCTTGTGAATACATCTGTGGTTATTACATATAACTGCCAACAAATTATCAGGTTTCAATGCGCACCTTTAACTTTATTTGTATTATGGAATGTTGTATGATTTGTGCACATGAAGAAAAGAAACAACTGAAAGCTGATTGTAGTGAAGGAATCAATGTTAATATCAAGGACTCTGATACCCCAGTGCTGAATTTTTACCAAGAAGCTTATACAAAATGAATTTAAACAAAGCAAAATTATACGAAAAAACCTAATGGAACATAAATCACCGTGAGGGATAGAATGTGAAAAACAATAAGAAAAATGCATGTGCAAAAGGCAAAAAATTGTAATTAGGAACACAAAAGGAAATCACTAAAATGGGAATGCTGCACTAACATTAGATGTTTACTTAATTAATGAAAAAATTGAGAAATAGGTTGACACAAGCACCCTTTCCTTAGCATTAGATGTTTTAAAATTACAATTACAATTTATCACTTATAGAGGGCTATTTACAATGACAGATCAACAGCGCTTTACAATCAATCCTAACCTGCCCATCCCACCCCAGGGGAGGACATCCATCACACAGTAATCTCATGCGTGGGAAATTAACGTCTCCTACCCCTAACCCTTATGTTTTCTTCTTGTTTAACCTGTGGGCTTCTTTTTGTGTCAGTCTGTCTTAAATTAGAACTCAGATGAGAACTCATGAGTTAAGATAAACATGTCCTTTTTTATTGAAGCAAAACGAGTATGAAATTTACATAACTATACCTTATCTTGGTTGACATCAATTTATTACTTATCTTTTCTCAGAAAACAAAGCTGTACCTTCATTATTGCTTCCGGAAGGGAATGAGGTAATTTTCCTCATTCATAACTTGAAGAATTTATTGAAACTATCAATGAACAAAGAACTTGTCTTCTCATGAGAGGCATTTACACTGAGTACTGCTTCTGAACAGGCTTTTTAAATCCTGTCTACTTTACCAATGTTGTTACAACTGTACAATGACAATGAGCTATTTCTTTGTACAGGAACCCAACAGTCTTCCTCCTATTCGAGGAGCATCTTGGACAAGAAACAGACCAAATAGTGAAGATTGTGATGTGGTCACATAGAAAATTACAATAGTCCATTTTGCAGTTGTGTGCTTGGTTGCCAAGCCTTTGAATGGGAGTGAGGCTAGGGTTGACCTTGTTATGATACAAACGTTGCTGCCTTTCAAATGTAAATCACTTTGTTATCATGCTAAGTAGATCCAGGTCTCTATCACAACAAGGTCACCTTCAGCCTCACGCTGAATCAAAGGCTTGGCAACTAAGTACACAACTGTAAAATAGCCTATTCTATTCTTCTCAGTCACATGTAATCACGGTGCACTTACTTGGATCCATTTGCAATGCCCGGTCAAATTAAGTTTACAAGTCTCCAAGTTTTTGCATGGACTCTTGGCTCCCTGTCATAGAATGATCTTTCTCACAGGGAAAACATTAAAATTTTATTCCTGCTGGATATAAGGCAAAAAAATGGGGGAACAAAAGCCCAAGGTTATTTGATTTAGCTGAGTTGCATCCACAGAAATGTCTGGCATTTGGTGAAAATGTTTTCAATCTGAATATATGCATTTCTTGTTTGTTTTAATGGAGAAGAAACACTAAGTTATATTTAGAAATTATATATTGCTGGGCAATATTTAAGCATTTTCGCCAAGTTTAACAATATATGTATCCTTATCTCATCTCCAGAGTAAGTGAGATTATTTTGTAAAAACCAAAGAAATCCTCTATTAAAGTAAATGATCTGTACATTGTGTGTTATTTGGCAAACTTCCCATTTCCTTGTGATTCTGAGGGTAAGGCACTTTTTTAGGTTAGAAAAAGAAACAAGGTTTTATCCTAACCATTTTACAGTTCATAGTACTAGAGTGAGCTGACTAGTACTAGCAGCTAATGTCTCCTTACATGTTGAATCATGCATTAAGGTTAAAAAAAATATATCATTAAAAAAAAAAAAGATCATCAGCTCAAGGAGCTTTTGACTGATAATAAATTTTCCTTGTCAATACCACTGGAAAGGTATGAAGGACTCTGGAGAATATTCACACTGAGTTAGGGTGTAAAGGATCGATCTGAGGCAAAAGTTTGGTGGAATATGCTGCTTGGTAACTAACGACACGTTCATGGTATTTTACATGACGTACTCCAAACAAGTCTCTCGCTCTAGACTTTCACTCTCCCGCTGAGATTTGAAGTTCGTTTTCGTTGCTGAGCGAAAGGACGACTCCGAGGTCTTACTTTCACCTTAAAGCCATAATGAGTGGTGAAAAGCCATCTGTGTTGATAGATATTATTTCTGACACCGTCTGACCATGGTAAGTACAGGTAAAATCTATCAAGATTAAAGTGAAGTGTCATTCTAAGCGTTGCAAACTCAATGAAGCGCAACACTCACCAGCTGCATGCCCTGTAGTCAAATCTTGCAACGGACGAGAAGAAATTGTTGTGCGAGGCCTTGGTTAAGACGAAGAAAACCTTACATCGTGATTAGAAAAAGTAATGGTCAATGTGGTGAAGAAACGGAATTTCTCGTGCGCTAGAAAAACATGCCTCAGACTGTATTCGAAATTGTTTCCTAAGCTTCGCCCCTTGGCGATCATAAAGTTGCAATTTGGGGGAAGACCTAGGAAACGCTCTACAGAAAAAATTATTTAACCAAAAACAAACACTGAAACTGGTAAATCACAAAGAAGGGGACAAAATTAAAAAATTAGTGGGTAAAAAATTGCAGAAGGAAAGACCTTAATTTATTCGTGGATTTCTATGGTTCTTTATTCTTCAAAGCATTCCGACAAGGTGGAGTTTAGTGACCCTGTATTTTCCTAGCTGCTCCACAGTCGGAGATAAACTTTAAAATTGCCCTCCCAAGGCTTTTAATATTCCCACACTACAGAGCAATGTCAGGCAACGTTGACCTTTAAAAAAGATTAGCATCTAATCATCTTTTCATTTATGCAAGATTGTGTTTATCACACTTGTGTAAATTTGAATGTCACTTGTTTTGCTCCAGGTGTTTCGTTGGAAAACGCCATCTGGAAGAGGCCATGGAGGTGTTTTCCAACGATTTGTCATTTGTGGTGACATGGAAGCCTTTCTTCCTAAACCCCACAACTCCAGAGGCTGGAATACCTCTCATTCAATACCTGACTCAAAAATATGGAGCCAGAGCAGGTGCCATGGCCAAGGATGGAACTAGTCCTCTGACTAAAGCTGGGTTGAATGTGGTACTGTAATAGTATCATTTTTTGTACCTTATGCTACATCAATTTCAAAATGTCCACATTTAATAAAAGAAATGGCAGAATCAAGGTCAGATCAGCTGCCTTATTTTGTAGACTAATGACCAACCAGGCACTTTTAAATGCGCTCGTGCACGATGCAAAACGTGTCCTTTCATTCACAACACTGATAAAATATCGGGACCTAAATGATCCATTAAGATCACTTCACGTGCACCTCTGCCAATGTAATCTATTGCATAACTTGCACTTATTGCAAAAAGATATACATC